CTTCAAACAGTCCCCTGAGCTGTCACCCCTCAGTTGGGTTCTACTGGGCCACTACCAAATGGCCTTTCCTAAGTAGCACCTACAAAGGTCAGGTGACTGGACATGGCCCTCAGTGCTCTGGGCTGGGGGACAAGGTGGGGATGGGGCACGGGGTGGACTCGATGATCCTGGAGGTGTTTTCCGGCCTCAGTGGCTCTGGGATTCAGAGTTTGCTGCCGTGCAGGTGACGAACGTGGACGATGAAGGGCACGAGCTGGGCTCTGGGATCATGGAGCTGACGCAGCGGGAGCTCATCCTGCACACGCACAAGCGCGACGCCGTCAGGTGGCCCTTCCTGTGCCTGCGCCGCTACGGCTACGACTCCAACCTCTTCTCCTTCGAGAGCGGCCGGCGCTGCCACACGGGGCAGGGTGAGTGTGGCACTGCCTCCTGGAGGCAGCGAGGCTCAGCCTTCCGTTCCCAAACGTCTTCCCAAACTGCTGCCCCTGGTCAGTCAGCAGGTTCCCCTGCAGCCCCGTGCCCAGGACACCCCAGTGTGTGTGTGCACATCCAGTGGATGCTCCTGGTTCAAACACCCACGAGACAGCATTGTGGCTCAGGGCCTGGGCGTGAATCTGGTGGTCTCGTTTTGCTGGTGCATTGGTGCTCACAAGGGGGTTGCTGAAGCATTTCTGGGGTGTATTTAATGCCACAGAGGTTGTTACACTGCCAGCGCTGTGCTTTGGTGCCAAAGGATGCCCAGCTGGTAGCAGGACCTTCCTGAGGATCTGGAAAGCACTTTTTGCAAGACTGAAGCTGTTAAGCATCTTTTAACTCGGGATAAAGCAAAAGGGCATCTCCCACACCTTCTTCCAGGTCCCTCTTAGGATTGTTTATTCCACAGAGCCTGTCGGTGGCAACAGTGGTTTGGGCACATTTTGTTTTCCTTGGTGCTTTCCCCCTGCCTTGGTCAGTGCTGGTTCTGCCCAAAGCTTTGCATTTGGGGTCTGGCAGCACTTTGTAACAGCGAGGGAAAGGAGTCCTACGTTTCACTGATGTTATGCATGGGGATGCTGTGCATGGAGGAGGGAAGTGAGTCACCCAGGAGTACATGCCAAGTCATCAGCAGCACTGGGAATAGTCTCCAGTTTTACAATGGTGCCTGTTAGTTCCTTTACCAGTCTGTCTCTCTTGCTTTTAAAGAGCTGAACATTTTCTTGGCATCTGCATCCCCGGGAAAAAAAAAAGTTGTTTCCTCATTCTAACAATGTGTTTGTAAACTCCTTCGTATCCAGAAGGACTCACATGAGTGTTCAGGGTCTGTGCAAATCTGCAGTGGCATATGCTCCTTTTTAATATTTATTTAAGTGGGGGTTCCCTCTCCTGGAGCCATGTGCTTATCAGTGGTGGGAGACTGGATTCTGTTTTGCCTATTGCAGGGTGAGGATCAGTGGTTACAATTGAATCCAGTGATTAAAATTCTGCCCCATGTGTGGCTTGTTCTGCTCAGGTCCAGGCAGAGGTGAAGAAGCAAAGCTCTTCACATACTACAAAATTTGTAGCCAACACTCATCAGTCTCAAAGCAGAAATGAGAGGGATGATGTGTTTTGATGAGTTTTCTCCCTTCCTTGTAGGATTTTACTCTGCTTATTGATTTTATCTGGAGGACTCCTTCCTGATGCTGCTTCCTACCTGACTCAAGGCAGATCCAGCTGGTTTTTTTGGCCAGAACCTTGCAAACCTGGTTCTTTGGGAGCAGCCCTTGTTGCCATGCCATTCCTGTTGCTATGGCTTTGGTGTGTGTGTGTGCCAGCCTGGGATTGGTTACTGGTCTGGGCTGCTCCTTTGGGGAGACACTCTTTAGTTCCAGGGATTTTTAAAAGTGTGATGTCCTTGTCCCTCCCTCACGTGCACACACCACAGGGCCCAGTCCAGCTTGGAGGAGGCACTGCCCAGCCTTTCCCTGGCACTGAGGACTGCACTGGGTGCTGGGGGAGTTCACACAGATCAGAGGTGAAAGAGGACCAGTTCACCTGTCCCTGCACACCTGTGGGCTTGGCTGTTGTCAGATAACACAATGCTGAGGTGTCCAAGGCCAGGCTGGATGGAGCTCTGAGCAACCTGGTCTAGTGGAAGGTGTCCCTGCCCATGGAGGGGGTGGAATGGATGAGCTTTAAGGTCCCTCCAACCCAAACCATTCTGGGATTCCATGATTTCTGGTGATTATTTCATGAATAATCCACCAGTTGCTGGTTGTTTTCCTGGAGCTGTGGGTTGACTGTGTTAAACACAGCAAAAGCAACCAGAATTCCCTGTTTGTTTAGAGCCAGGAATTCCTGTACCCCTGTAAAAGCAGGATCACTTCCTTGCTCCTCTGAGCCTCCTCTCTGTCACTGCACAGGGATTTTTGCCTTCAAGTGCTCCCGAGCAGAGGAGATCTTCAATCTGCTGCAGGACCTGATGCAGTGTAACAGCATCAACGTGGTGGAGGAGCCTGTTGTCATCACCAGGAACAGTCACCCCACGGAGCGGGAGCTGTCCCGGACCCCCCAGGCCCCCAACAGTAAGACCCCTCAGTGTCTGGGGAGGAGTGGGGGGCACACAGAGATGGGGTGATGTCTGCAGTGCTCCCATCAAACTGCCCTGTGCAGCCCAGGGGTCTCTCCCACGTGCTGTCCCATGTCTTTTTGGCCACGTGTACCCCATGCAACACGTTTATTTAGAGGCTCCACTTGTTCCTGTGTGGAATTTTGTTTCTGAGGAAACAGCAACAAAAACCCCCTTCAAACAGTCCCCTGAGCTGTCACCCCTCAGTTGGGTTCTACTGGGCCACTACCAAGTGGCCTTTCCTAAGTAGCACCTACAAAGGTCAGGTGGTGTCTCCATGAAACCACCTCTGGAATAACTCAGATTGACTCAATTCCTGTCTCCATGAAGTTTTAAACGAGGTTTAAACGAGGCCCTGGCCCTTGTGTTGGTGCTGGGTTCTTCGCTGTTGGGATCTCCCCCAGGCAGGCTGGTTCTGCCTTCCAGGGTGCAGCAAAGTGAAATAACTCTTATTTTGTACCAATCTAACGCTCCTCTGCCTTGATCCTCTCCCAGGTCTGGGGTACACTGTCCCAGGATTTCCCAATGGATTTCACAGCTTCCCTGGAGAAAGCCTGTCCTACTCCTCAGCCCGGCACCCCTCAGCGAGCAGCCTGAGATATTCCTCCGTGGGGGAAGACTCCACTCATCCCCTCCTTGGGCCTGAGGAGCAGGTAAACCTGCCTGTCCTAAACTCTGCTGGGGGCAAGCAGCTGGTTTTGCTCTGCAGTTCTGGGTTTCTCCCACTCAGAGCTCAGGGGATCCTCACACCTTGTCGTTCCGTTTTTCTCTTTACTTCACTTTGCTCTTGGAGGCTCCTGCTCTCTGACACTTCACTAGAACATCAGCCTGGCAAAGCCAACTGAGTTGTCCTAAATCCACTGGTATTTGGGTGGCAACTACGTGTCAGCTGTCACACAGCCCCTAAACTGGTGTGCAAATGCACCCCAAATTCAGACCCATTTTATTTTCATTTTTGATGTTCAGATCTTTGTTTTAAGTTCTAGAATTTAGGATTTTCCCCTGCGAAATCCAGCTTTGTCTAAACCATCCCCCAGGAGGCCTGGGTAGGTGTGAGGGCTGCAGGATCCCCGTGGGAGCCACCTGAGGAAATATTTTGCAAGTGGCTTTGCTTTTTGCTCGGTGCCACATGCATTGAGCGTGACACAGACAGAATTCCAGAATCACAGGGGTTGGAAAAGACCTCCCAGACCATCAAGTCCAACCCATGCTCAATCCCTACCTTGTCCCCCAGCCCAGAGCACTGAGGGCCACGTCCAGTCCTTCCTTGGACACCTCCAGGGGTGGGGACTCCTCCACCTCCCTGGGCAGCCCCTTCCAATGCCTGACCACCCTTTCCAGGGAGAAATTCTTCCTGATGTCCAGCCATGTGGACACATACATTATGTGTCTGCAGCTGGACTCCTTTTTGTCTCTCCTCCAGCCCACAAATCCTAAAATGGCTTTTGCGTTTTGCTTCCCAAAACCTTCTCGACTTAAGAAATTCTTCCATTCTCCTCCTGCTTCACCAGCCACTGATGAATTTTCCCCTCCTGGTGGTTTCTCAGCTGCTCTCGGCTGCTTTGCTCTTGCCTCTGCTCTCTTCTCCTTTCACTGTCCCTCTGCTTCTCTCCTTGCAGTCCCACACCTACGTGAACACGGCCAGTGGGGAGCAGGAGCCGAGGGGCCGGCACTGTATGCACTCCTTGCCTGAAGCCCACCCTCCTTTCCCCCCTAGGAACCACAGCTGCTCCCTCGAAGACCGCAACCCCCAGGTCTTCCTGCAGCCCGGGGAGGTTAAATTCGTGCTGGGTCCCTCCTCCGGCTCCCGCCGGGTGTGCCGGCACCCCCGGGAGTGCGGGGGTCCGCTCTGCCCCCCCAACAACAACAACAACGAGTGCGAGGGGGGTTGTCCCTCGCCCCAGTGCGTCTACGAGAACCT